TTTTTTTTTGAAAAACCTCTAGTACAAATGAAACAAAAAAAAAAAAAAAACAAAAATCCAAATACTTACCCTAGTTCCACTAAATTTTCTTTACGAAAAATTACAACTCAATAGTATTTTGGAAAAATAATTACAAATTTTTAAATTTACCACTCTAATGTGGTTTTTTTTTTCTACACTTGCATTACTACCTACCATTTAAATAATTCAAAATATATTCCAAGCAATTTCTTAACAGAGAAAGGAAAGGGAGAGAGGGGATGGCGGTTGGTCCTTGTAGATGGGGAAGACAAAAGACGGTTCGGTGACGGTGGCGGACGATGGCGGCTACTACGGAAGAGAAGGAAACATAATCTCATTAGAAAAAAGATAGTGTATAGTTTAAATATTGGTAGTAGTAGAATCGTAAATCTATCCCACATCGTTCATAATCTAATTAGAAGAGAGATAGTGTAGAGTTTAAATATTGGTAGCAGTATAATCGTAAACTTATCCCACATCGTTTAAAAACAACGCAAAATGTCTGAATATAAGGGGTGGTTGAGACATCTAATAATTGCCAAGCTAAGTAGCGTTAGCTTACGACTCAAGCGAGGGCACCAAAGTGGTTGGATGATGGTAAAGTTGATAGTTGGCTTCAACGCTTGAACTCAGGCTAGACCAGCGAACCTGTAGGTTCTAGCTAGCTTAGTTGAACTTAGGCTAAAACGATTAAACCACTAGGTTCTAGCTAGCTTGGTTGAACTCAGGCTAGACCGAGTAAACCTCTAGGTTCTAGCTAGCTTAGTTGAACCCTGTAGGTTGTGGCCAGCTTAGTTGAACTCAAGCTAGACCAGTGAACCTGTGAGTTGTGCCCGGCCTAGTTGAACTTAGGCTAGACAGTGAACCTGTAGGTTCTCTGGCTATAGCTTTAGTTTAAGTCATCGGACAACCACTTCTTTTTCTTTTTTTTTGTAATAGAAAATTAAAAAAAATAATATTGTGATTATCAATGATGGACTTTTATTTTTCATGTATAAAATAAATAAATTAGTATTGTTATGATCGTGGATGGATCTTGAAAATTTGAAAATCTAAATATTCTTTCGCACCCTGTGGATCGGTCCTTGGTGATGATTACAAAACATAAAATTGATAATTTTTTCTATTTCAATCAATAACATTTGCTAAGTTTGGCAACTAACCAAAAAAACTCATTACTGCAACTCTTCAATTTTTAAGCATTTACCCTCGCCACTCTGTTCGATGTCTGCGTATGACTGTAGAAGATCCATGGTGACGTGATTGGAGCTCAGTGAGAGAGAGAGAGATAGTCATGAACCAACTTTGCTTGTTCGATTCCAAAAAAAACACTCTCCTTTGGTTCAACTTATATTTTAAAAAATAAGTTATTGAACAAAAAATTGAAAATTAAAAATTTGTTTGGTTTTAAATTTTAAAAATAATTTTGAGCTAATTTATAATTTAAAATTTTTTTTTTAGTTGAATAGATGAATATAAGAGAAAATTTGATTAATTGATGTGTAAAATGTGAGAGAATGAATAGATGAGAGGGGAAAAAATGGATATTTGATTTATTAATAATAAAAGATAAAAAATAAAATAAAAAGAAGGACAGAGAAGAGAGAAAATTGAGTTTTGAGTTGTATTTTAAAAATTTATTAACCAAACAAATTTTTTTATTTTTTTTTCCAAATCATGTTTAGGAATAGATTATTTTAAGTGACTTTTTAATTTTTTTGATTATTTTAATCTGGTTTAAATTTTGGATGATAAGTTTTTTTTTTTTTTAATTAATTTGATAGCTGTGAAAGAAAAAATAATAATTATAATTTAAATGTAATATTTTATCTTATTAATTATTTTAATATATTTTATTTATTAACTATTTTAACCTCCAACCCAACTTTCTAAACATCCCTATGCGATACCAAAAAAAATATTTGCATGGCCTTTTTCTATTTTTTTCTAGATGAATAAAAAATAAATTTAAAAAATTATAAGTCAGTTTGATTCAAATCAAATCATGACTTGATTTGATTTTTTCAATATACAATTGGATTTTATTTTTAAAATAGATTAATTATATTTTACAATTCAATTCATGGATTCGTTGTTATAGTTCTTATTTAGAGCTAAAGCAAGCCTAAATTTATTGATAAATTATGAAATCTAAATTTAAGTTAGATTTCTTGAATAGTTAATGTTAAATTCATGTATTTTAAATCTACAACTATCCAAACAGACACATTCGTATTAGTTTGTCTCTTGTATCAAGTTGATGATTTGATTATATCAATTTTATAATTGAATTTTTCATATCGTGTTAATTTAGTCAAAATAATGTCACTATAGTAATGTGACTAAAATTAAGAGGCAAAATGATAGATTAACATCCAATATAAAATGACAAATTATTTTTAAATGGAATATTTTACTTTTTATTTCTAATTAATTTATTATATTACAAAAAATTTAATAATAAAATTGATACAACTAAAATTATAGTGATCAAATTGGGGGCCAAAGGAAGCTAGAATGTGCAAAATTTTGGAAATACGCAATTTCAAAGTCTTACTCCATAAACATCGGAGGCAAGAACACATCGGGGGTATATGAGGTGCATCTTTTGGCTAGAAAAGCATGGTCAGATTCAATGATAAGTTTTGTGGGATTGTCTAAGTGGTCTATTTTGATAATTGTTTGTTCAAACAAATTTAAAAATATAAGTTCCCAAAAAAAATTTAAAAATATAAAATATTCAAGATAAAATCAAGTTTTGAAATATGATTTAGGCCAATTGATGAATTCAAAACTCCATCAACCTCTTCTACTTGCTTTTTGTGTTGTGTATTTAATCTATATATTATAAATTACATTCAGAGTCAATAACATAGATAAATATATGAATCTCTTCCACTTTTTTTTAGTCAACGTGAAGTTCTTTATCTTGATTAGTACTAACTTGATAATGTACATTACTCTCACTAACTCATCATTCATGAACTGTGTAATAAGTCATGAGTCTCAAATAAATAGTAAATAACAAATATTAAAATACACCAACAATAATCAATTATATTTATTCGTTAAGCCCATGTGTGTGAATTATTCAAATAAATATGAGATTAAAAATTTAATAATCACAATCGCACGGTTTGCATCATATTTATTTTGTAATGCATTCTCAAATTTTTGTGACTCATTTCTATGAAAAATTGGATAAAATACAATTTTGACTTAGAAAATAAACGAAGCTTATCAAAATAATTCATCTGATCCTGCACAATATCGAATTAGATAGTTGAATTCATTTTAAAAATGGTCAAGCCTGTCCTAAAAGAAAAATGTTATATAAATTAATAAATTTTACAAATATTTGTATTAACTAATGTAAAATGTTACATTAGGATCCACTTCATTAATATGTCATCAATTAGTCAAAAAAAATTTATAAAATTTATTAATTTGTTTAATATCACTCTTTTAAAAATGAAGAGAAGCCAATCATATACATCTCCTTATTTGGATTATCTCAGTCGGGTTTCAGCTGGGTATGGACTTGAGAACATAGTCTCATCTTTAAGGATGTGCTATATTAACACTTTTTGTAAATCCCCTGTCTTTTTTTTTTTTGAATTTAATATTGAGTTTATATATAGGTGAATAAGTAGGGGTGTACACGGTCCGGATTGGTTCGGTTCTGAGAAAATCCAAAAACCGAACCGATCCTAACGATTCTGTGATTTTGAGAACCAAACCAGACCGTTACACTTGTAAAACCGGACCAGAACCAAACCGAAAAAACGGTTCGGTTTCGATTTGGTTTACGGTTCCAAAAATTTCTATTTACAAAAATAAATTATTAATATTAGCAAAATAATTACTCAAACTAATTACATTTAACTCATGATAAAAATTAATAATATTAAGGCATTACTTAATATTACATATCTATATCATCCTAATATCATTAAAATTATAAAAAACCAATTAATAAAAATAAAACTTGATATTATATATATATATATATATATATATATGTTTTAAAATTCGGTTCGGTTCGGTTCAGTTCGGTTCGAACCGCAGTTTTTTCATAAAATCCATTAAGCAAACCGTTTTTACCATTCTCATATTTCTTAATCCGAAACCGAACCAATTCTTAATAGAACTGAACCAAACCGTATGATTCGGTCTGGTTCGGTCCGGATTACTGGATCGAAGAAATTTTTGAACAGCCCTATGAATAAGGCCTTGTATATGTCAGTTTTTTAATACCCTGTTAAGGTAACATGACCATAATTATATACCGCCCTCTTGCAGTTCTGTAATTAGGGGTGAGCATGGTCCGAACCAAACCGTATGATTCGGTCTGGTTCGGTCCGGATTACTGGATCGAAGAAATTTTTGAACAGCCCTATGAATAAGGCCTTGTATATGTCAGTTTTTTAATACCCTGTTAAGGTAACATGACCATAATTATATACCGCCCTCTTGCAGTTCTGTAATGAGTTTGCAGCTCCTAAGGAAAAGCTTGAGCACTTCAAAAACGTCACTCCCCAAGATATCATTTGTTCTCTGGTCCTTTTAAATCTTATTTTAATAAATTTATGTATTTTTACCTAGAGAAATAGAATCGCTTATAATTAATTTTTTTCCAAGCTTCAAACATATTGTAAAACTCACTTTCCTCAGCAACGAAACAATTGCTTTCTGTACTCGGTCAATAGTAACCAACATGAGCCCAACATCAAAATTACTGCTCTTTTACAAAGAGGAAAAAAAATCCTTTCAAAACTATGAGAAGTTAACCAAACTGCAATCATCAGCATCTACATTTAGCAAAAAATGGGGTATATTTAGATTCAAGTTGTAAAAGTCTGGAATAAATACATTCAGCACGAAGTTAAAATATTTAAAAAGCAAAGTGGACTCTAAATCTAGAAAAATAGATGTAATTACATAATTCACAGTTTGCTGAAATCTATATGATTTCGAACTGAGATACAAGGTAAAACATGTTTGACTGCAGGAGTGTTAATACAAGACCAACCACCCCCAACCAACAAGTTCAGCATAGAAGCATAATAAGGTTCGAGTTCAGACATATCAACAAAATGCCTAAATATTCTCTTATAAACCCTTGCATTCTACAATTCATTTTACCATATGTTTCAAACATCATAATACCTGATCAAGGAAGCAATTCATATTCTATGGGAGTTCATTCGCCCAATGAAGATTCTTTCTGCCAGAGACCTAAATTGGTTTCCATGATCTAAATACAAAACTATTTTCCTGGAATTAGCACACTGACAAACATGCCTAGCACATTGCATATTGAATTACTCATGGCCAAGAATCACAAAATCGAACACTGGACTTGCACAGTAAGTAATGTTTCTGGTTCGCACTATAGTTCCTGTAAAAACAACAGTCATGACAATAACATGTCAATACCATTCACAATTATGAGACACCCAAAAACCAAAAAGCAAAAAACAGAGAAACAACAAAAATAACAAACTCATTCTTTTGATTGTTGCCATTCTTGTATAGTCAAAATTTCTTTGCTGCATATGCACAAAATTCATATGTTAAAACAAACAAACGAACAAAACAAAACAAAACAAAAGGCCAGGACACTATGCTCTAAATGTCTTAGCACTAGATGCATAGAACAGATGGCATGGAAAAACTACAATATTCATCAACATAATTCACTGTTAAATTAGAAAATTAAAATAAAATTAATTACATGACAACCAGAGTTCTGTTGAAATTCTCCAGCAAGTACCTCTTAACTACATACCCAAAAGATTTTCTTTTTCTTTTTTCCTCACAAGCTCTGTAACTTCAGCAACTGTAAAGCCAACTTCCCTCTCAAAAGGGAATCAATCTCTAAAACACAACCAGAGTTCTGTTGACTTGGATATCTATTGATGATATTTTTTCATCTGAGAAAAAGGAAAAGACAGTGGAGAAGAAAAAGTTGAAGCAACCTGATAATGATGCCCTAAAGGAGTACAGTCAATGTGCTACCCATTTGAGAGACAAATCAGCATACATTACCCCAGAACCTTAAGACACAAACAAGCCAAACAGATCCAGCTATGAAATGCGTACCAAATACATGCTGTCACTAGCGCAGGAAATGAAACAAGATAATTTTTTTAGAGATAAATGGTTGTAATTAATGGCCTAAAATGCTATTAGACAAAATGCAATGATTTCTTACTATTTTGAGATGACCAGATTTCCTTACACAATTTGTCATGTCCCATAAACAATGTACTGCTGCAATCACACAGTCAATTCTACAAGATTTAAAAATAAAAACCTACTAGTGTTACCATACTATTGATTAGCTTCAGGAGCTTGAGCACTCATGTTGAAACTATCAAAACCTCCACTCGTAGGTGGCGCTGAATTAGCCGCCTGATACATAGCTGGGGTAACCATTGAGGTGGAAACACTAGCAGGAGTCATAGTGGTCCCTGGAACTGCTGATGGAGCACCCATTGGTGGAGGCCTTGGGAGGTTGGTAACTTGACCAGGCAAAGGAGCAGCACCAGGTGGCCCCACCATTGGTGGCATCACTGGAGCAGACATATAACCTGATAACATAAACAGTGATCAGATACAGAATATCTTTAGGGAAACAAGATAGATAATACATTGGGGCCATTTGGTGCCACTCTACAGAACAGTGAATGAGATTTTCACCTCATTGGCTCCTCGTTCAATTCTTTCTAAGTCATTGGATCCTTTTCCACATTTGAGAATCTCCTCCTTTCTTCCACTCTATCCCGAAGAGTAACTAGGACCAATTTAGTCACGTTTTCATGTTCCAATTGAACACTTCCCATTTTTCTTTTTGATTCTTCTCAAAGGAGAAGATTATTCTCTTTACCACAGCTTATGGAGCTGCTTATAGCTTTTTCTATTTTGGAAATATGCGCCATAGTGTTTGGTACGGCTTCTGTTTATAACTTTTAAGGTAGAAGCAGCTCAAACAGGCTAAAAAAATTATTACTAGGAAGCAAGGGAGAGGTTTTTAGCTTCTATTTTCTGATTATCAACTTTCAGCTTAGTAGAAGTTGTGCACCAAACAGTCCCATTAAATGGAAAGCCCCAGAATTTCACCTAGGAATGCCATCACAAAGTGGGGGGGGTGGAAAACTACCGTTGTCAAAATTATACACAGCACGTTTCTCACTATTGAGGGAAGGCAATCCAATGTATCTATTAAGGTTGCCTTTGGATTTATAGATTTGAAATGAAAAGATTAGGCATCAATAATTTGAGGAGTATAGTCTTCAATTCAATGTAATGTTTTAGATTTAGACATTAAGAATGGATTTAAAAGGCTTTATATTGATGAATTTCAAATAATTTGGTGAAAATAGTTATTTAAAATCCTTTCATAAAAAATTCTACCTGTACAAGAATCTTAATAAAATACATGTCTCATACCTCTATTCAATCATCCACTTCAGAGTTATCAATCTACCTTCAATAGCCAATCTTCTTATGATTTTATAAAATTCAACTAAAATTCCTTTATTTTAAATCCACTTATACGAAGCGAACTTAAGAAGATAGTGTGTTTTTTCATCTAAATAAATACCCTTGGTACAAAACCACTGAATGATAGATGTACCAAACCAATAACCATGGAAAATCCCTAACAGTAATTAGAAGCTATGCAAGAAAGACATTTTAGTTTTCTGCTAATGCATAAAATGACTTGTAATTCTAACTAGGAATTTCATGAAACCCAAACAAAACCATATGGCTAGTCCTAAACATAATGTTGCACTAATGTTGATCAACAGTCCAAACCGTATTACACTGCAAGGCTCCCAGCATGTGAGTGTTGTAAGCAATGAAAATGACTAAACTATAAGCATACCACTGGTAGTACAATTAAGTATCACAAAAATCTGAGGAAAATGCATAGAAAAAAAGTCCCTGCACGCACCAAAGTATTAGCAAGAAATTTATATAGGTGTCAAGGAATAAGTACACATCGATATGTATATATGTTCATGGTTGGTCCTAAACAAATGGTTCGATCCCTGACATAAATATTCACCTGAAGAGCAAAACCACACCATGAACACGGCAATACCCTTACATGCCGGCCCAGTCTACAGTGAAAATAAATTATAAGCACACAGGTAGTGATGAAATTAAATACCAACAAATTTGAGGGTTTAGACGCAAATGCATCCACACACAAGTCACTGCATCCACCAATTATTAGAACAAAATTAACACCTAAGTTGGGTGTCAATGAAGAAGTGTTAAACACACATCCTACCTGGAAGTGGTCTTGGCAAGACTGGTGGCCTAGCTCCAGGGATTAATGGTGAATTGACAGGTAACTGGGTGTTCCCTGCCATCGGCATCATTGGAGTAGGAAGAATAGGCACACGGGGCCTCAATGCGTTGTAAGCAGCACCAACTTGCTGGTATGCAGTAGTTTGCCCAAGATGTTCCTTGATCTTTTGGTCGATCAAACTTTGATTTTGTTGCGCCTCAAATTGCTGATAATAGGTTCTGACATTTGCCTTTATAGATTAAATGTGTAAGAAACATAATGATGTGTCGATCTACACTTTTAAGAAAAAATAGACATGTGACTATACAATAATACCTTATGTTTGTACCCTGCATTGTGCTGCTTTCTGACAGAAGGCTGAAATCATAAAAAAGCGATAGTAATACATATAGAACTCAAAAATTACTATCCAATTACGGTTGCAGAAAGAAAAAAGAACGGGAGGGAGATATATTTCAAACTCGACAAACAACCAAGGCCATGAAGCCCAAGTATTACACAGGAAAACCTCAACGCCAGGGTCTTCATTTTTTTCTAGAAAATGTATGCTGTAATAGTATTGTTGTCGTCAGTTAACATAACTTGTTGGGTCTGGAGAGCAGTTCCCAGACAACAATGCTACCTTTGATAGATAACCAATGTTCTGTGAGGGTTAAAAATCTATAGACAAAAAACCCCAAGTCCTCGTTGTCTTGAATAAAATACATAATGAATATTATAAGTACAAAAATGAGAGGTGGTTTGACAAGTATTGCATGTATTAATGGGAAATTACAATAAACCCCCTTAACTATAAAGAGGGTTACGTGCTGAGTTTTAAACATTTGGAGAGCAATTAAAAAGCGGGCCATAGACATAGTTGAGGAGAGTCTATTGTAATGTTCCCTTTATAAATTTCTACACAAATGCCATCATAGACTACCAAGTAACATAGAAAGGCTGGAATCAAAAGATAGAGTGCAACATAACTTACAGAATCATGTGTTAGATAAGTGTCACAGTAGTCACAATAATACCTGGAAAAACAAGAAATAATAAAATAAATGATCAGTGTAATCTTTCACAACTACATAGAACAAATTACATCTGTAATTATACCTTCATGCAAAAACACTTCTTACCGAGGCATGGTTGAGTGTTGCCAGAGCCAAAGGAACTGTAAAAAGATTAGGACAATGAGAATAAATCCAGACAAAGGGGAAAGAGGAAGAAAGACATATGGAAGGAAGCACGTGTTATACATCCGTCCGTTATATATACATATACTATACAAGTGAAAAACATATTGAGAACAGCAGCTCCCTACTAAAGTAAATAATGACAATAGCATCCTCCAAGACTTTAACAGAACACTAATGTTAAGATTAAAAATTATCTCATATTGTTAACCCCGGGAGTCTTTTATTTTAGTATAGAACTGCCTATTTTTAATTTAATTTTGATCATAACAATTTCAAGTGGAAGTTCTTACAAATAACTTCATATTAGTTGCTCGAGATCCATGATTTATTTCATCTAATGTTTTCACAGTGGTTCAACTGTGGTGGAGCACAGCAAAGTAATCATGATATAAATACATTAAATATAATGAAGAAAAATTGAATGGATAGAACATAACCAAGAGTTTCTTTTGTCATGGGTAAATTAAACTCACCTCCCCTGAGAATTGAAAAAAACAAATACCATAAACCCCACATTTTTTACATAACTACACTCACCTCCCTCAAGGTTTTAATATTCGTATAACACTTGGGCCCTTTTTCATTAGTGGTTTGTTAGTTGTGTGACTGAAAGGAAAAAAAAAATATTTGTGTTATCATTTCTTTTCAATTTTCTACTAAAATGCATATTTATCTTTTGCTTATTTTAGTTAGTTTCCGTCGCTTTTGACATTACTGTAATTATGTCAATAGTGTGGGGCTAACTGTATTTTATCCAAACCTCAATGGAGGCGAGTGCAACCCTTTCTCCATTTTCTTCTTCTTTTTAACTTTTTTAGCTTACCCATTAATATTCTTAAATTGTTTAGAAACTTTTGTTTCTTTTTACAACAAAGACCAACAAATTATCCTAAAATTAATTATTCTATACATAACAAGGAAAAATAAATAAATAAATAAATAAAAACTCAAAATCCATTAACCCACAATTGCTACTCTGTACATCAACATTCACAATGCTAGTGTTAATGTTAACTAATGACAACTATTATTAAATATAAAAAATAAAAATAAAAAAGCTAAAACTAAAATTAGAGACAGACATGGAGATATTGGAAATATCGATGCAAGGACCGAACAATGAAACAGAGTCTTCGAGAATATTAGATACAAGATTGACACATATACAAATACGTAGAAGATATACCTGATCGAACCAAGAATGATCGTTGAGTTCGAGCAATCCAACTGTGATTCCCAGTTCAGTGAAACGATTGAAGTGTGTTTCAAGCCCTAAAATTAGGTTCAATTCATTATATTCGCAATTAGTAACCCCGGTTCACTGTTACTCCGACCGACCGCACTGGTTTCGCACCGGTCTACGGTTCAAACCGATTAGGGATATATATTGTGGTCCAACCCGGACACTTTCACGGTCCAAACAGTCTGCCGAATTATTCAATCAAATTATATTTTTAAATAACTATTATTTTAAATATGACTCATATTTAAGGTTTAATTTCGAATTTATTACAATTCTAAACTCATCTAAAAAACACCCTTGTATCTAGTAAAAATAAATTGAATAAAATTAAAATTTATATTTTTGCAGTTAAGTTGTTTCAACCATGCAATTTTTGTTAATTATTATTGTATCCTAAGTTTAATAATTTTGTATTTTTCATTATATTAAACAAATATATATATATGGTTATGTTTGTTTAGACAGACTGGACTAGGTTGGATTAGTATTCACATGATTAATAGTTCTAGGACTACGAATCCTTTGAATTGTGTATCATATCCTATGTTTGGATTAAGTTAGGATTATTATGAGGGATTAATAAAATATTATCCAATCCGATGTTTGTTTAGGGAGATTAGAATGGATAGGACATCAAACATCCAATATATTAACCATAATACCTCTATTATGGTCATTGGATAAGTTATTCTAGACTTTGACTTATTCCTCCAATTTGTATCTCACTCCCTATATGGGATTGAATAGTCCATCATATGTAAGATATTATATCCGGATGGATTGTTAGTCCGTACTTCAATTTTTTAACCAAACATTAGATTAATAATTTTATTACAAATACATATCCACCCAAATAAACATGGCCTGTGTGTGTTAGTTTAGTCAGGCTGAGCTCAACGACTATTTCCACACCCAGCTCATTTAATAAACAGTTTAAATGCCCCAACCCTAAGAGCATCTCCAACCCAATTCTCCCTCTAAGAGGATGAAAATAATTTTCTTTTATTCAAAAAGTAAATATAGAGTATGTCGCTATTCATTCAAACTCCAATCACAAACCTTCATTTTCTTTCGAATGGGTGTTATCAACCGCAATTTTTTATTTTTTTACCTTGTTGGGCATTTTTTTTTAAACATTAATCATCATTTCCGTCTCTAAAGATTTCTCTTGAAAATATTTTAATCAAAAAGTAAATAATTTTTGTTCATTAACAAATATTTAATTTTGAAATTTTTGTAAAATATATTTAATATTATACTCATTTTAAAGGTATAATTTCACCATTTTTAATGATACCAATTTTATAAAAATTAAATTTACATATTAAAAGTTATTTGTAATATAATAAAAAATATAGAATGAATAGTATTTTCGAGAAGATCCTCTATTTTTCATCCTCCCTCCAAATATAGAGGATCAACCCATCCTCCTTCCAAATAAAGATAGATTGAAGGAACAAATTTTTTAAATATGAAGTTATAAAGGGTGGGTTGGAGTTGCTCTAAGAGCATCTCCAACGGTGTACCAAATGTTTCACCAAATCTGAGTCAAAAAGGGGTCATTTCCTTAATTTGATACTTCGCGCTCCAATGGTTCAACATCAAATCCGTTTCATCAAATTTGCGCTGGGCAACCGGTTGGTTGACCGGCCGGTCAACCAGTAACGGCAAAAAATATATTTTTTTTTTTTTACTGGTTTAAACCTTTTTTTTTTGAACTTTTTAAACTTTTGGTGGTCGACCGGGTGGTCGACCACCTAGGCAAATTTTTTTTTTTTTTTTTTGACTGGTTTGAACCTTTTTGTGAACGGTCTGAACTTTCTCCGGGGCGACCGGTTGGTTAACCGGTTGGTCAACCGGATGGTCGACCCGTTCGTCTCATCCCAACGGTCTGGAACAGTGATTTGGTGAAATGCTTCGCCTGCACTCAGTTTGGTACCATTTTTGCTGAATTCTGGATTTGATATTCATTTGATGCAACGGTTGGAGCATGCAAAAGTACATTTTTCATCAAAATTTAAATCTGATATCAATTTTGGTTCAGCGTTGGAGATGGTCTAACCAGGCCTTGTGATATTAATATCAATTTCAAACCTTTCAAAATACATAATGAATTGGACAAGATGCGCAGGCCAATTGGCCCGTGTGTCCACCACTAGTACTCTTGTATGCTCTATTTGTTTTCAGAGGTGGAATGGAGAATATTGATAATAAAGGTATTGATAGTGAAAAAATTAAATTAAATTGCATTTGTTTTGATAGTAGTTATTAATGTGGGGCTTGTTAAATTATTACCCTATAAAAGAAATATAAAATATTAAAACAAATAGAATTATGATTTTTACTTAACAAAAAATATAAAAACATTAATGTTTAAAAAAAATGAAAAAAAAAAAAAACTAATCCCATGGGACTAATTTCCTAATACCATCTCTGCCTCCTTCATCTTAATCCCAATACCAATGCCCATCCTAATCTCATAGGATTATGAATACCCTCTCTATCTCCCAGAACAAACACAATATATAGTGGGTCTCACCTCCATCTCAATCTCAATCTCAATCTCAATCCCACCCTTATCTCCCAAAACAAACGAGGTCGTAATGTAATCTACATCACGCGTTCACTTTTTTTATAAAAACAAAAATTTATAGGATTCATTTGGGAAGTGGGTTGACTTTTTAACTTTTTGACTATTTTAATTTGGAGCTAAAAAATCTCGTTTGGAAAAGATTTTTTTGATTTTTTTGACTTTTTATGAGATAAATAATGTAATGATTATGGGTTGGATGTGATGTTTTGTCTTATTGGACTAAAAAGTCTATTTTGCCTTTTTGTAACTAAAACAATCCCAGACCTAACACAATCCAACCCTTCTTCCCAAACGAAGCCGTTTGTAACATTTTATATAGCTTGTTTAAGGTTTATTTGGTTATAATTTACACGTTAATTTATTTTTGTAGTTATTTTTCTTTTCTTTTTTTAATGTTGTTTAGCCTAAATAATCCTATATATATATATATATATATATGAAAGTATAAGATGGACTTAAAATTACAAAATTTTTACTCATTCTTTTTTTAAAAGCACTAAAATCAAATATATGTCAAAAAAATAAAGGTAAATTACAACAACAAAGAAAAAGTTTGTTCCTTTTAACCAAATAAACCTGAATTTGTGATTTTATCAATTTAAAATTTAATTATTTGATTTGTTTTCGATCTAAATTATTTATCTATTTCTGTCAAGTAAAACCAATGAAAATAATAATAAGGGCGAATTACACTAATAGTTCCTATAGTTTAGGACTCGTGTCACTTTGGTCCCTGACTTTTCAATTGTGACACATTTTATCCTAAATTTTAAATCTTGTTCCAAATAAGAATAATTGAAGATATCATTGCTCAATTACAATGGCAAATTTATCAATTTGATAAAATATAAACTAATTTATCAAAAAATAAATGCCAAAAAAACTATTTTTGATTTTTTAAAAATAATTTCTACCCACCAAAGATAAAATTATGTAAAATTCATAAATCTTTTAGACATTTATTTTTTATTTTTTTTACCAAATTAATTTTTATTGTGTTTGGATGATGATCATGTAATAGGTATTGTTAGACTTTAAATGTGTAATTGATATATTTAATATATGAAATATTTTTAATTTTGGATTTTTTGATTTAATAAATTTATTTAATAATGATATTAAAGTTGTTGCCATATTTGACTTTTGAAAAAATATAAACTAATTTAATGACAACAAAAATAACCACCTATTACATAATCATTATCCAAACACATAATAAAATTAATTTGGTAAAACAAATAAATAAATAAATGTCTAAAAAAATTATCAATTTTATATAATTTTATCTTTAGTGGGTTATAAATAATTTTTAAAAATTCAAAAAAAAATTGACATTTATTTTTGTCAAATTAATTTATATTTTATCAAATTGACGACTTTACCCTTGAAATTGAGTAATAGTATTGTCATGACCCAAACTTGCCCCTATAGGTTTAGCGTCATACTCAGCCAGTAATCATTGGATTACCAAAGGCCTCTTCACATAAAAATGTATAATTAGGGGTTGCGAAAATAAATACATAAAATATACATAGTCCATTGAGCTGTGAAGACATATATGAGATAAATAATCTTAAACTTTTATAAACACACAAGTGGCGTCAAAAGATACAGGGCGTGTTTGGTTTGTGTTTGTAGAGTAGTTTTTGAGATAAAAAGTATGAAAACTTGTTTGGTTTGCCTTTTTTCAAAAATGGTTTTGGAAAATTGTTTTAAAAGAGAGAGTTTTAAAAAAAAGTAATTGGTTTGATGTGTATGAGAGAGAGAGTGATTTTGGAAAATAGGTAACCAAACAAAATTTTGAGATTTTTTTTGAAAAAATTTGTATTACTCTTGAAAATTTGTTTATAGAGAATTTTTCCCAAAAATTTTTCTGAAAAGCAAACCAAACAAGGCCACAGCATTTACACATCACTTCATGCACATAAAAATAGAGAAACTTGCTCATGGAGCAAAAGAAACAAAGTTTTATACATTCATAACAACATAATCACTAAACTTGACTTAATCTGAAACCTTCTCGGGAGGCACAAAGGTTGGCTGACAAAAAAACTGAGACACCAGGTCTTCAACTCTAAGCCTGGTCATGTGCTTGATCACCTACATATATAATTTAAATAGTGAGCGAGAGCCCAGTGAATAATAACAGAGTAAAGGGTTAAATGAATAATGTCTCAAGACTAAAGTAGTTCACATTCGTATTCTTATTCAAATCATATACAGAATTCAGAATTCATACTTGTCCATACATGGTTTATCCGTTAGGGCTAATAGATCATACACAGAGCATCATAGATTATACTTGTCAGTTCCTTAGAAGAACCTTCGGCCGGGTACAGATAACTTGTCAGTTTCATAAAGGAACCTCCGGACTGGGAACGGATAACTTGTCAGTTCCATAAAGGAACCTCCAGCCGGATACAAATAACTTGTCAATTCCATAAAGAACCTCTGGTCCGG